GGCTGGCCTGCTGGCAGCTTTTCCGTTCACTCCTCCTGCTCAGGAAATGAGGCAGCAGTCTGCTGAGAGGAAGCGTGGTGCCCTCCCTGGAGGAGGTTGAGGCCACAGCAGCCCCTCCCATCCTCCGGCCTGGGGCCCTTTCCTCTTACCCGGAGACCGTGCAACTGCTAAACCTGCTCACTCCATCTAGGAGCAGCGGGAAGGGAGGAGATTGTACCTCACTTCCTTTGTTAGTGCAAATGTTGGAGCCAACACAACTTGCCTGACCCTACGTGTGAGGATCTCGAACTTCTGCCAGAATCACGCCATATTACTGAAGAATGTTCAATGCAAATCGAACCAGTCATCAATTCTTACTCCAGGTGGAACCGATAAGCGAGTGCATGTGGTTGACCTAGGCAACTTGGTGGTTGATGGACATAATAATGCGTTCCCAGTACAGCACTAGTGATGTTTGTTACTGTGCTACTTTCTCAGTTATCCACCAGTGTCTTTTTTTTAAAAGTTAAATAAATATTCGTTCAGCTGAAAGCTGGAACATAAATGTTGAAGAGATGAATGGTGACTCTGGAAACCACGTACTGTTCAGAAGTGGGGGACTAGTTTTAGTAAGCCCTAATATTTTCCAAGCCTAGGGTGCAGCCTAGTGGGTGGAGCTGATCTACTGAGTTGAGGCTTTGGTTTTGGAGGATCTTGAGGCTGGAGAGGAAAGTAACTTGCTAAAATTTGAAGAGCTAATGAAAGAACTCTTGTGGTTCATTGGTATTCCTTCTTTCCCTTAGTAATTTCTTCCCTTCATATTGGCTGCTTCTCAGGGGAGTGACTATGAATGAATATTGGGGAGAGACGACAAGGAAGGGGTAGCAACCTGAAGGTCTACTTCAGGTTAATACTTAAGATTGCTAGGATACTGTTTTTATAACTGGGCATGGAAATACTGGAGTTGTCTTCCTCAGTCACCTTTCTCTGGTTTTTTCCCTCTGTTCATTATGCCACTAACTTCTAATTATCAATTATAGTGAGGTTGATCTGCTGGGTGATTGCTTATGACTGGTGACACTTTCTCATTTCCTTTGTTCTGAAGACAAGATCCCCTTAAAGGGGAAGACAGAGTGGATGAAGAAACTAACCTTGTATTAAACTGCAGTCTTAGGCTTAACATTTAAATAATGGCACCCTAGGAGTAGTTCTAGGGTAAATGATGGCCCATTCTCCACCTCCACCCCCTGCCCAAATTCCTCAGGATTTGGTCATTTTCCTGGTGGGAAAATTTGGCTCCTTTCCTCCCACCCCACCCTTAATGATTCTTCAGTGGTAAGTAGCATTGTGAACAAACTTAAGATGTTTAAGCTGCTCGCTCTCTCAGAGCCTACCAATTTGCTTACTGAACTGAGGTCTAGTGAGGAAGTGCTCTGGGGGAAGTAGAGTGATAGTTAAATATTGATGAAACCACTATCTTTCTACTCCTAAGCTTGAGGAAGCCTGATCTTTTGACTTTCTGCTCTGCTCTAATGAACTTTGAACCGGTCCAGAGAAGATACCGTGGGAAAGGGGGAGGGGGTGATTAGGCCACCTGCTATCCTCTTTGGGCTTTCAGGAATGTGAGTTTTGCAGGCGCCTCCCTCTGGAGCCGGAAGCACTGCACTCCCTGACGGTATCTCACTTTGTGGGGTTGTCACTTCTTTATTTTTCTGTTTGCTTAGTGTGAACATCCATCCCTTGTGAACCTGGATGAGTCCAAAGTTTTAAACATCGGGTTCTGGGGCCCCTTTATTTTTCTCTCTTCAGCCGTTGGCAGTGTAGCACCTTGTTGAAACCACTTTCGATTTTGAGTTCCCTTTGCATTTCTTGCTAGACTTAAGGAGACTGACATTTAAATGCAGTCTTTCTCAGTTGTTGATGGTGGCGGTAAAAATACATAAAGTCTGTCATTTTGACCATTTTTAAGTGTACAGTTCACCCAACCTATTTAGGGAGTGGGCTTTGAGCAGCACTTTCGATTCTGGCACTTTCCCAAAATCCTACTCTCTGGAGGGGATTAAAAATGTTTGACTAGTGTGTGTGGCTCTCTCCTATTTTGGGGGGTCTGGTGGGCCCATTTTTCTCTTATTTTTTCAAGAAAAATCTCACTGTGTGATCTTCCATGTAACCCTTTCTTTGGTTTAGAATTGCTTTCTGGTTGATTACCTTTTTCTTCCCCTCATACTAGAGCTTGCACCCGCAGGGGAGAGGCACTTAGCACTTTGCTCTGAGTGCCTCCTTTGGGCTCCACCTTTGTTTACTCTGGGGCTGATATTTCTACTCCCTTTCTTCCCCTTGTGAAAATTTAAAGTCCCCAAGGACACCAGTATCTCTTTGAGTAGATACATTTGTGAACACAGTGACTGGGGAAGTCCTTTACTAGCAGGGCTCAAGATGAACTTTTCTAATACTCTTTTCCTTTGAGTTTCATCTGTGGCTTTTGTCTAAAAAGAGAAACCCAGAGTGGCAGAATGCCAGGTTTAGGCTAATACCCTTCTGCCTTTGTCGGTGAATTGCCTGTGTCTGAGCACCCGGTCCCTGTCAGTTTCTTGCCTTAAAGGGTCTAGTAGGCTTGTGGGGAACATCCTCCTATGTGGAGGATGGTAGCTTTTAAACCACACATTTCCTAGCTGAAGCAGTTGTCGGCCATCTTCTAATGTGATGGAATTGCTGCTGCATTCCTTCCCTCCTGTCTTGGGAATCTTTGCTTCCTGGTCAGTGAAGGAAGGACCTTAGAGAGTGTCCTCCAAGCTGCTCAGAGGTAGGTAGACTGAAAGATCAGAACCACATGCTAAACCTCAGATGATTAGAAAAACATAAAGCATAATGTTTCCCATTATTTCCCCTATTTCTTTCTTTTTCTGCTTTGCAGAAGTTAGTCGCACTCTAAGGCTTGATATGATTTAATTGACCCAAAGGCCAGGCATTGTGGTTCTGGCATATGTTCTGGCTAGAGGCAAAAGTCAGGTGTCTTCCCTTATTCCTTTAAACCAGTACTAACATCTTGATTCTGCAGACTTTTGTTTAATTGTAAAGAGAACTAACCCTCTGTGTGAGTTGAAAAAAGAGAACAGCAACTGACCTCCTCCCCACCCCCACCTTCACCCCAGTCTCCTAAGCTCTTGCTGGGACTCCCATCATTGGGTTCTGCTTTTGATACAGACCTGCTGGCTGTGCGCATGCCCTTGTGAGGGCACGAAGATGTGTGTTCTCCTCCCTTTTCAGTCTTGCTAGGAATTCTATTGTAAATGCCGACTTAACTGCCCGAGCCAGCTGGTTGTCATGGAAACTGCACACCCTCGCCCCCATAGCTTGTTATCTTCTACTTCATTTGGGTAACTACTGGTGAGCTGGATGGGGACTTAGATTTCATGAGCTTCCTCCAGTCTGGTTCCATTCTTTTTTTTTTTTTTAGTTCTAGGCATCTGGGGTGAGGGATGTAAATCTTTGTACTGGCAGTGTGTCACAGTTCTTGTCTGACAGCCTAACTTGTTCTCATAATCTTGACCCATCAGCCTTTTTGAGCTGGAGGCAAAATGTGTGTTGTCCTGTGAACGCCTGCTTTTCCAGAAAAGACACAATGAGAAAATACTTGCCTTTATAGTGTTTGAGTAGTGTAGTTAGAAACACAAATGGCTTCTTAGCTTAAGGTAGACTTCTCGATTTTCTTTTGCTGTGGTTTAGTGGTTACATAGCTCTAGTCCCTTGAACCTCCCTTGTTTGTATTTGGGAGTTTTGTGCTGATAACCTGATTCTTAAAAGGAGCTTTTTGGACTGTAGCCCTCCCTGTAGGGGCTGGTGGCCCAGATTATTTCTATAGCTGCCCCCACCCTTGACTGCCAGGAGGAAATCAGGGTAATAGAATTCAGGTACAATCTGAATCTGGGCTGGAGAAGAAAGATCATGTTTACCAAGCGCTTGGATAAGCATCTGAACTGGGTGGTGTGTAGGGCAGATTAAATTCTTGTATGCTGTGGCAGTCAGTGGAACTGCCACCAGTAAAGGTGTGGGGGAAGGTAGGCTTTGCTGCCATTAGAATTCACCCATTTGTGGGCTGCCTCTGTCTTTCATTTTTTCCTATTCCATGCCTAGGAGGAGGCATGGGTTTGCTTGGACTGTAGCCTGTGCTCATTGTGCGGAGGAGGCCAGGGAGAGGATTGTCATAAGCTGTCCTGCAGGGTGAAGTTAAGGGGATGACTAGAGGAAAAGAAAGGACTCACAATTCAGAAAGTTGGAGGGATGGTGGAAGGCATGAAAGAAACATTCCCTTCTGATCCTTGCTTTTCTGTAATGTCATCAAAGCAGATAATTTTAGCTAGAAGCTCCTTGTTGTCAACTTTTAAAAGGTAGGGGTGGGGGAGAAGTTGAAGGAATGGGATCGGGCAGGCACCCCAGTGTTCTGTTCTTTTTTTTTCTGGTCTGGAAAATACGATTCCCTTGGCTAGTCTTCATGGTGAATTAGGAGAAGGTGAACAGAGGGTTATCCGTTTAAGTCCAACACCAAAGTAATAACGAGTTCAGTATTCTCTCTTTGAGAAACCTTGCTTATTTTTCCATTTTATGAGACACGTATAAGAAGGTTGCTGAAGATTGAGACACCTTTAAGTTAGAGCTCAAGCAGAAGAAACCCTTCACTGGCTGCCTTTTTTTGATCCCAGTGTGTTCAGGAATTTGAACTGAGTCCAGAATGTGGGTGGTACTAACTGACACTGGACTGGGCAAGGAACGGAGTTTTAAAACACTCTTCCTGTGGAACATATGGGAGTTCGTTGATGGGAAAGGGAGGAGATATATATAGACATAAATTTAAATATAACTTGTCTGTTAGATCTTATGTGCATCTTTGCTAAGACAGCTTCTTCCCTGCTAGAAATTTTTTTCCTTTGTAGTCATAAACCCTTCATGGTAGTCAACCCCAGTGTTGGAGTTCTCTTCACTATGCCTCTACTTCTTTTTTCCATTCTTTCATTCAAATGCAGGCTGAAGCTGAGGTGGCCTCTTTGAACCGTAGGATCCAGCTGGTTGAAGAGGAGCTGGACCGTGCTCAGGAGCGCCTGGCCACTGCCCTGCAAAAGTTGGAGGAAGCTGAAAAAGCTGCTGATGAGAGTGAGAGGTGTGTAGAGGGGCCTGATAGAGTGTGAATTTCGAAAGTTCATACTGGTTCTAATCTAGATTTCCTTTTATAGATCTGTTTTTGTTGTTTTTTTTTTTTAAATAGTAACCTATATTCTAGAATACCTATTTTCTCTCCTGCTCTGTGTAGTTTCTCCCCTTGAAGATAGTGTAAGGGTAACTTGGACCCTGTGACTCTTTCGTAATTGGTGTTTTTCTATAAAGAGATCTGTTGATCTTTAAATGGGATCATAGTATAACCTCCACTTTGTGGATCATAAGCTCATAGGCTGTTTTTTATTCCTTTATTTATTTTTTTTTTTAAGATTTATTTATTTATGTATACAGGAACTGGGGTATAGGCCAGAGGTGCGGGGGGTGAGAAGATTCATCAGGGACAGAGTGGGGAAAAGAACAGGCAGACTGACTGAAGCACACTGCTGAGGGGAGCAGCGGGCGAGACAGGAAAGGTCTGCTGCGCCATGTGGGCAGCTCCCTGGCCGGCCAGGGATCAAACTTGTGCTGCAAAGGCTGTGGGTTGCTTCATAGTGCTGTGCTTGACCCCTTGTGCCACCAAGGAAGCCCAAGATCATAAGCTATTTTGTGAGATTAGTTCTTCTAAAGTAATGATTCTCAAAATCATGTCTCAGTCCATCAGGACCAGGGAACTTGATAGAAATTCAAATTCTCAGTTCTTACCCTGATCTGTGAGTCAGAAGCTCTGGAGGTGGAGCTCAGCTGTCAGTATTTTTAATAAGCTCTTTCAACCCTGGCTGCTCTATCAGAATCATAGGAGCGATATATGTAGGGTCATAGGGGAGTTTCAAAATATCAGAATGCTTAGCTCCCTTCCCCATTTCAATCAGAATCCATCGTAGAGGGACCTGGTTTCTCTGATAATTTTAATGTGTGGCCAGGGTTTAGAGCTGCGGTCCTTGAGCCAAATTACAACTCATCTTTGAAAAGAGCTGATTGGTTTTCTGTCACATGTGAGTTAAGCTAGAGCAGAGGCATGGGATGACATGCATGGGATCAAATGAAGGCTTTTCAGAATTGAAAAATGCCCTGCCAAAAGTACTTGAACATAGTGCAGCTATAGAGATGACTAAGACAGCTAGTATACACTAAAGTGAGGAGAACTAGTTGCAGAATGGTATAATGGTCCTTTGGGGCAGGGATGAGTATATTTGCATTTTATCTTTATAAAACATTTCTGGAAGGATTATGAAGTCAGAAAATCTCTGAACAGGACTAGAAGTAGGAAGACTTTAATTTAGGCCCATAGACTGTACATGTAAAAACTTCATTTTTTAATAAATGCATATTAATTTTTTTAAAAGATTTATTTATGCATACAAGAACTGGGGTGTAAGCCAGAAGTGCGAGGGGGTTAAGAGGATTCACCAGAAAGAATGGGGAGCAGAACAGGTAGATTTACTGAAACACATTGCTGAGAGGAACAGTGGATGAGACAGGAGAGGTCTGCTGCACCATGTGGGTCAGCTCCCTGGCCGGCCAGCGATCGAACTCATGCTGTAGTGGCTAGCGATAGCCTGATAGTGCTATCTTTAACCCCTGTGCCACCAGAGAGGCCCCAATGTGAGTGTTAATTTTTATGAGAAAAACTTATTTTTGAGAAAGAAATTTAAACAAAATAAACTAAAGGAGATGGTGTTGGGGAAATTGTTTTTGAGCAGCAAGTTGAGAGGAATGAATTTTAAAATCTTCAATTTTGGGTCCCTTTGAATGTAGCTGATGACAAACCAGGGTGTCGGGGCTACATTTGTCCTTGTTTCTAACAGAGGTATGAAGGTTATTGAAAACCGAGCCTTAAAAGATGAAGAAAAGATGGAACTCCAGGAAATCCAACTCAAAGAAGCTAAACACATCGCAGAAGAGGCAGATAGGAAGTACGAAGAGGTAAGGCACTTTTTATCCATCCCTCTTCAGTGACTTCTGAAGACACTCATGAGTGGGAATGGCTTCTCCTCTGCCTCACCGAGCTATACCTGGGTCTTCTGTAGGTGGCTCGTAAGTTGGTGATTATTGAGGGAGACTTGGAACGCACAGAGGAACGAGCTGAGCTGGCAGAGTCGTGAGTATCTTGCTCCCCAACTCTTATCATACCATTTTGTCCCTTCCCCTTTGGCTTGGGCACGAATGTGAGTAAACTAGCAAATCGCTTCAACCTTGTTACACAAGGCCTAGAGAGTAGGAGTCACCTGTTGCACTTTTCTAGGACTTAAGAATGGTTTTGGGCTTTTTTTTACTGTCTGGACTGATGATGGGGATACATAAGACTTATTTCTTGTTTGGGAAGGTTTACAAATTGAGGGGAAGCAGAGATTAACTGAAGGTGGGCAGTCAGCTCGACAGCCCTGTGGCATGCTTCTATGTGGGTTTGTGGCTCCTTGAGGCACTCAAGTGGCTGTCCTGACTTAAGATCTGTCTCTTTTTCTTACTTTGCTAATTTACTGGGATATTAGGGTGAGGCTAGACACGAACTGCTCCCCTGTTGGCACCTTCTGGGCCTTGTATAACAAAGTCAGTGCTGATGCATAGTTATTTGTACTCCCCTGGTGTTCCCTTTTCCCAGACATGACATACCATGATCATAGTGGTGTTTTCTTCCCATTTTTTGAATTTTTTTTTCCATTTTGCTGCTTGTTTTCTTGCTGTGTTCCTTTTTGACCTTTCTCCCTCCCCACAACCTGGCTTGTGCCATCCCCGTGACTATCACTAACAGCCGTTGCCGAGAGATGGATGAGCAGATCAGACTGATGGACCAGAACCTGAAGTGTCTGAGTGCTGCTGAAGAAAAGGTACTAACCATTGAACCCACAGAGAGGTTATATGTATGGTGTGGTGTGGTTTGGTTTGGTTTTTGTTTTGCAGCTGCCTCCCCTCCACTGGTTGATGTGTTGAGTGCTTTCTCATCTCCTCATGGAATGCTCCATTTCTTTTCCACTTACTTGGCATCTTTCATCTCTTTTTTTCTAGTTGCCTCACTGCTTCTCCACAGGCTCTCCTCCCCTTGGGTGATTTGGGGGACTATTTGGGTTGGGCATCTGTTCCCACCTCCACTCCAGGTAGCAGTTATAACTTGTTCCTGGTAGTGATTTCTCTCAAGCATTTTCTTAGTACTATCCAAACATGCTTAGTCCTAGCCCAGCAGGGCCCAGCTCCTGATATGTCCTAAGGTAGCGGGAGGAGGGTTGATGCTTGCTCAGATGACCTGGGAACTTCTCTTTTCCCCAGTATACCTTTCAACTCTTTCTACATATAGGTTCAATTCATGTCTGTGTGTCTCTCTCCCTTTTTTTTTTATTCTCCTCTTCTACCCTTTCCTCTTCTGCGGTATTTAAAATGTTCACAGTAAGTGTTCTGAGCTGGAGGAGGAGCTGAAGAATGTCACCAACAACCTCAAGTCTCTTGAGGCTCAGGCGGAGAAGGTAGGGGGCTGGTTAGTGAAAGTGACAGGCTTTGGGGCCTGGGCCCAGCCCTGCCCCTGATGAGAGACTGGAGGCACCCATTCTTTACATAATCCAGTGAGAACGGTGCACTTCCTACCCATCTACCCTCTATCTAGATTCTGGGGCTAATGCTAATTCCTGTGCACTTTGATTGCTTTAGTTAAAATAATTTCATGGTCTCAGATGCCTGTTCTGCTCTCTTTAGGCTGATAATGCTGTACTGCACAACAATAATCATGGGACCTTTTGGGTTTTCTAGCAGACAGATAGTGTCAAATCTGAGACCTAATTGGCAATCAAGACATAGTTTCTCTTACCGCTATGTGGGAATCTGCACCATGTGACCTTGGGATGTCACCACATCTACACATTGAGCTAGAAAAAGGAGCAAAACCTCCCTGGGTTGAACTAAATATGACCAAAACAAAGGTCCATTTTAAAAATTAAAAGGCCTGGAGGGTTCTAATTTGAGGGTATCATGGCTCTGAGGACATTGCTTTGTAGATTTGATGCATCTTTTGTCCAGAAATGGGCCTTGTTTTTTCTCATGGACCGTTCAGCACATTAAATCCAAGAGAATATTCAGTGTAATATAGGGAGGGGGGTACTGTCTGTGTGGGTAATTTCTGTTCTGAAACTTTTATTCTACCTCTCTTACAGTACTCTCAAAAAGAAGACAAATATGAGGAAGAAATAAAGATTCTTACTGATAAACTGAAGGAGGTAAGCTGAGGGATTATAGGAAAGGATACAAAACATTCAGAGTTAGGTATAAGGAACTAATAAGAATTGAGTTGGCTAGCTTTGGTTTTGAAAGATGTAGAATTAGACGGTAGAAGCAGTTACATACTTCTCTACGGGTTTTGTTCTTCCTTGGGGCTAACTGATTTCATATCTCTCCCAGGCAGAGACCCGTGCTGAGTTTGCTGAGAGATCGGTAGCTAAGCTGGAAAAGACAATTGATGATTTGGAAGGTATGGATCCTGGGGTGGGGATTAAAATAAAGAATATAGAGGAAGTCCTTGCCCATTGGATGCTAACCTCTCTCCCTGTATATGAAAGGGGTTTGGTAGTGACTTGGCATGCAGCCTGTGCCCTGTCCTATGCCATAGCTATGTAAAGTGGGTTAAACTCTAGATTTAGATTTACTTTACATTTGATTTTTTCCTTTAATAAGGCTTTGCCTAATGTTCTGGAATTTGCGCCCTTTCCTTGGAGGATACTGATAGTGGTTGCATTTACTTCCAGTTTAGTAGTCTTAAGTTCTTAGTCTCTGGGTAGAAATGGTAGCCATACTATCAGAAGGCGACAGAATACGTCATCATCCCACGGCTACTTTTGGCAACCCTGTTTACCCTTCTGTTAGTGGAGCCCCTCTCAAGAGATGCAGCTGTAGAATAACCATGTCTCAGAGTTACTCAACTCATGCTTTCTAAATACTTCCTGTCCCCACAGTTTGGCAATTGCATTCACCCTAAAAAGGGAAAGTGCACTTGCTGTGAGAACTCTGAGATGTGCTTCTTTGGTATTCTCTGGGTAGCAGGAAATTCTTAATGTGGGAGAGGTTGGGGAGACAACTTGAAGAGCAAAAGGGTCAAGAATCCTGGTCTTGCTTGCTAGATAGAAAAGAAGTGCTTGAATATTTATGTGTACTTTTCTCATTTTTCTATTTTTATTAAATTAAGTGTTGTCATCGCTAGAAATTGGGTTAACTGGGTGGAAGCGGTATCTTCTTGAATGTCTTGATACTAGGAATTTCTGTCCAGAGTCTCAACCCTTGCTATGATCGATTAGCGGTATCAAGAAGTTATGGGAAACAGTGGACCTGAAAATGACCAGGCATGACAGTATAGATGTTCTCCTATCTGGTTATTAGACCCACGATCACACTTTTCTTAATTTTTAATGATTCCCTCTCTTCATCTGCTTCTGATACCTTTCACTCTACCCCCTCATTCCTCCCCGTGGTTCCTGTTCCTGTCCAGATGAGCTCTATGCCCAGAAACTGAAGTACAAGGCCATTAGCGAGGAGCTGGACCACGCCCTCAATGACATGACCTCTATGTAACTATCTGACAGCAGAGCGGGGCTGGGACCTTGGCTTGTGGGTGGGTGGGGATACAGGCTGTGCATAGTGTGCTTTGGTTTTGTCCTCTGGAAACTAGACTCTGCGCCCTTATCTTTAAAGCATTGGTGCTGGTTACTTGTTGGCAAAAGCTGAGTTTTAAATTTTTTTTATTCACAGTCCCTTCATTACAACACCATGATTTTTCTATTTATTTCTCAAATTGAGCTCAGAAGGGACAGTGCTGAAGATAGAATCGTGTCATAATATAGCTAAGGAAATAAAGCCCAGAGAGCCAGTGACTTGGGCCTTGACTTTGATAACAAAACTCAGGCATGCTGAGTGTGGTTTGTGCCCTGATACAGAAGTTCAGGGCAGACACCCATGATTGGAAATACCAAATTCACCTTGAAATTGAGTTGAGTCCCAGAGCAAGCCAGGTTGTAAAAAGCACCAAAGAGTCTTTGGGGATTTCATCTGTTTGCTGTGGCCTGATCCTTGAAGCTAATCTGCCATTGTTTCTTTTCCACTAACCCTGAAAAGAAGCCAAATGACTCAGGCTGTAGTGTCTGGCTCTCTTATATCATTTCTACTGCCACTCTTCCCTTTTTCTCTTCCCCGTCTCTCAAAATACTCTCTAGATTGATGCTAGTTCTTCTCACCTAGCGTCTCCTTACTTTTTCATACAGATAACTGTCACCGTTTCAGCTCTGTTCTGGATCAGCTCCCTTTCCTTGGGGAACCCAACGTCCCACTTGCTCTGGATTCCATTTGGGTCGCCTTGGCTGGTCCCCAATACATTACGATGGGGGGGGACACAAAGCAACTTATGTATTCTCTTCCACCCCCACTCCCCTAATTAAAATGAAGCTACTGGAAGCCTCATGCCACCCTGCATTTGTGTCATTGGCAAAGCTGCTGTTGCTAAGCAGGAGCCTTGGGGGTGTGATGTAGCTATGGTAAGACTTTCCTCTGATTTATATAATCAAAGCCACTTTTGTGTGTGTCCATTTTTTCTTGACATTTATACTATTTGAGTCCATTAATATGGACTAGTGGGGTGGCAGCTCTAGTTTTACCACTCAAGCTGAACAAGATCATCTAAGTCCTTTACTTCCAGGTTCTTAAACCATCTCAGCTGGAATGTTGCCATCTCTTCATCAAACTCACCTCCTTTGATATAGTGTGGTTGAGAGACCAGTGAAGTGCCACTCAATGCATATTTTCTACCCTCCTACCAGTGGTTCAAGTGGTGTATCCTCAGAACACCTGGCGGACCCACTAAAATCAACTAATTACATCATCCCAAGTCACAGGAAAACTATATTCAGTAGTTGTGTGTTTTCTTCTTTAAGCCTCTCTTACATATTTGAGGGTTATTACTATTTTATTTGTCTGCTGTTATTTGCTAGTGGAATATAAGACAAGTGATAAATGATTATGGGAAAGCTGAAACAACCAGTCATGCATATTTCAAATATGTGTGTAAGGTCGTGATAATGTATTACATACATGAATATGGTAAATTTCTGCTGGTGAAATTGTTCCCAGTTTGTGTTATGGAATTAAGTATCAATGTTTTGGAAAGTACTATTACAATTTACACAGCAGACAGGGTTCAGACTGCATAGTGTACCTATCAGTTGTACTTATCTAAGCATCTGTGTGTTACAGTACTTATTACTCTAGTTTCTCAGCAGAATATGTATTTGAAACTGGTTTTTCTTTTAAACAGATACAAATAAGTAAAATTTTTTCCTAATTTAAACTTTAGGTCTCATTGAGTTCAGATTTTTTTTCAGTTCATACTATTTCTTCCTGATATATAGCCTTTGAGATTAAGATAAGGTGTCCTTTATTTAGCTGACACTTACTGGTGTCTTGTAGGCACAGGGTAATTAGGTGGGGGCAGAAATAAAGATGGAGGCACCATCCCTACTCTGGGGTTGCTCAATTAGTAGAAGAGAGGCATGTATAGAAAACTAAAAATGATGTGTGGTAAGTGTAACAAATAATAAAGTGTGGGATTTAGAGGGGGCAGGAGACTGATTCCACCAGGGATGATTAAGAGTCTCATGGCAGGAGGCACATAATAGATACTTAATAAACATGTTAAAGCTTGCCTCTTTGTTTTTACTGTGTTCTAAAAGATTGAATTCTCAACAGAGTTCTCTTGGGGAGTAGTGGATATTAAACATTTCAGTCAAAGAGAAATGAAAAGCAGCAGCAGAGATAGAGTTGGGAAGGGTGTGGTAAAAGTGGTTTTTAGATAGAATAGGTGTTGTAGGTAATGAGGATGCCACTGGAGATTTTGGACAAGGATATGTTTCTGGTCTGAGTAGCATATAGGAAGAGTTAATTTGGCAGCTAAGTTAAGAATATATTGGTACAGGAGCGTTTTGTGCAAGTGATCCATTAAGATGATGATTAGTCCAAATTTCAATCACTGACATCACTTGTAATGATTTTTGCCCATGTTCATATACTGCCTACACCATTGTTTTCAAATTTATTCTTGTTTTCAAATTTGTTTTATTACTTTACCAATTCTAATCTGAAAGCAAAGATTGATAATGCAGTGTTTTTGTTTCTTTTTTTTTTTTTAAGATTTATTTATGCATACAAGAACTGGGGTACAGGCCAGAGGTGCAGGGGGTGAGAGGATTCACCAGAGACAGAGTGGGGAACAGAACAGGCAGATGGACTGAAATACATTGCTGAGGGGAGCAGTGGGTGAGTCAGGAAAGGTCTGCTGCGCCATGTGGGTAACTCACTGGCCGGGGATCAAACTCATGCTGCAGTGGCTGCGGATAGCTTTGTAGGTTGTGTCTTAAATCCTTGCACCACCAGGGAGGCCCTAATGCAGTGTTTTATTCGACCGTACATTAAAATACAGTTAATAAAATTTTTTTTAAAGCATTTGCAGTTTTACTTTTTTTTTTTAATTTAATCTTATTTATACAAGCACTGGGTACAGTCAGAAGTGCAGGAGGGTGAGAGAATTCACCAGATACAGAGCAGGGAGCAGAACAGACAGAAGGACCGAAGTACACTGCTGGGGGGAGCAGCGGATGGCAGAGGAGAGGTCTGTGCGCCATGTGGGACCCTTGCCCGGTGGCTGGGGATAGAACTGGCACTGCAGGGGCTGCGGACAGCTTCGCAACCCAGCACTCAACCGCTGCACCACTGGGGAGGCCCAATAAAATTTTTAACGTTCACAAATATATGCTACCTTAAGTAAAACATAGCACTGGTAGTGACTATACCATATTTTAAAAACACTGGGTTAGGCTATTTCAATATCCCAGAAAATAATTTAAACTAGAGTACTAGTTGTGTTTGCAAAAATGGGCATTTTGAAGCGCCTGGTCACTAAAAGTGAGGAGAAAAAATCAAGGGTGACTGGTTTTGAAAAAATCAAAATGGTTGTGTTAAAGATGTGGGAAAGTCATGTTGTCCTGGTTTGGGAAGACAGAGGAAGGTAGAGAAGAATAGAAGTTTCAACAACTGGCAAGTATCCCAGTGAAAATAAAATTATAGGACTTAATGGGGAGAAAGGATATAAGAGGAATTTGGGAGCCTATAAGGTGGCAGGTCTGGTGGCGCAGCGGGTTGAGCGCCGTGCTGTGAAGCTACCCGCGGCCTCCGCAGCGCGAGTTCAATTCCCAGCTGGACAGGGAGAAACCCACATGGCACAGCAGACCTCTCCTGCCTCGCCTGCTGCTCCCCTCATCAATGTCTTTGGTCCCTCTGCCTGTTCTGCTCCCCACTCTGTCTCTGGTGAATTCTCTCACCCTCCTGTTCCTCTGACCTGTATCCGAGTTATTGTATAAATAAATCTTTAAAAAAAAAAAAAAAAAGGGTGGCAGGTAGTTTAGGCGGTGGAAGTGAATTAGAACCCTCAGAGACAACTGCAAATGTAAAAAGACAGGAAATCTGTGTAGAGGAGGAAGCCAAATGGGAAATGAGCTGATTGGAGGGATGGAGGACAAAGAGTAGCTTCCATACTTTGAAAAGGTTAGGACTAGATGATTTCCGGTGGTTCTCAACTTTGGTAGACAGACTGGGAAGGAAGACAACTGCAGATGGAGTGATGTTGCTGATACCATAGGCATTTCAAGGAGAGGAGCTATATTTTAAGAAGGAGCATAAGAGTTAATTGACAGAAAAAGTAAACACAGTCTAGATCAGTAATGAAAAATTGAACTTTTGACAGTGATGTCTAATACGGTAAATATAGTAGCCTCTTCACCACATACGGCTACTGAACACTCAAAAATCATGGCTAGTGTGACAGAGGAGCTAATGTTTTATTACTTTTATGTCCTTTTTTTATGTAACATTGGTTTATAATTTAGGTTTCAGGTATTTAGCCTTGTAAATCAACATCGTGTTTATCACCAGTTAGTTGAACTCCTTTACCTAATTTGCCACACTCTCCCCCCACTGTATCTAAATTCAGTTAGCCAAATGTGGCAACCACATTGATATTGATAGTACATTGATAGTACAGCCAAATGTGGCAACTACATTGGATAGTACAGCTCAAGATTTTTAACATTTGAACAGAAGGAGTTGACTTTGGCATAGAGATTAGCTCTTGGAAAGGAATGAAGTGAGAGAGAATGGGAAGAAATTAGGAGACAAGTGAGGTGTTATATGTTTCTGGTGGCTCCGGTTGAACCTCATGGGCATGACTTGTCAGTCCATAGAGAAACCAGCAAAACAGGATAGCTGATCCAGAAATGCGAAATGCTCTGTTTGCTCTATTTTACTCTTTGATTTAATGTTTTATATCTTGGTAGCCATCCTATGTTACCTCAGCCTAGACCAGCTCTGAGAATGGGATCGAGCGTAGATGCTATTTTCAGTGCAAAGTGCTTGACCTCCTAACTCTCCTCTTAATTTCTAAGAAAGAACCACAGGCTGATGTGTTAGTCAGTTCTTCCCTTCCTTGTTGTTACTATTGGGGTGAGGAACAAAATGTGACTGGGCCCAAGTTAACTGATAGACCCCTAGTTAACTGACCATTTCTGTTGGACAGCCTTATCTTACTTTTAGTCCCACCCAGTCTCTTTATGTGATATTGGTTGAATACTCCCCATTGTTTTTATAAGGCGGGGGCGGAGGGGGGGAGTTATGAAAACAAGCAAAAATCTGTTCTCCATATTTCTTGAACTTTGCTCCTTTAAGGTTGATTAACTAACTTCTCTCTATGCCAGGTACTCCCTCCACTCCCCCTTTCCTGTTTAAAGAATGAAATTGACCTAATTCAAACCAGTGAAGCCTAAGGATGTCTAGCATCCATGGAATTGTTCCCTAGTTGGACACAAGCTAGAGGAACATCAGACCTACTGGATTCCTGGCTTATCTTTTTTCTTTTGCTGTTAGAGAACTGAGAAGTTCAGTAAGCTGCTATCTGTTCCTGAATTTTTAGTCACCAGAGATAATAGAGGGAGAAAGCTTACTAAGTTCAAGGTCAGGGAACAAACTGGTATTTATCTTTGTGACATCATAGAATTCTTAGGGAACTTGTATGTTCGGTGTTTAACCAGACAATAAAAATGCTCTCACTTCTTTTCCATCCCTCATTTTTTCCCTAAATGGAATAAAACTCTCATTGACTAGTATGTTTTGAGGGATAAGATCTTAAGATAGGGGTGGAAGTCACACTAACTTGGCTATGGATGCTACAGAAGAGTCAGGCTGCATATGTAATCTTTTTTTAAAAAGATTTATTTATTCATTCATACAAGAACTGGGGTACAAGCCAGAGGTGTGGGGAGATGAGAGGATTCACCAGAGACAGAGTGGGAAGCAGAACAGGCAGATCTACTGAAATACACTGAGGGGAGCAGTGGGCGAGACAGGAAAGGTCTGCTGCGCCATGTGGGTAGCTCCCTGGCCAGGGATTGAACTGGTGCTGCAGAGCCGCGGATAGCTTTATAGGTTGCATCTTAACCCCTTGTGCTACAAGGGAGGCCCTGCATATGTAATCTTTATGTAATATAACAACATGGAAAGTTTAATAAATTTAAACCTCTGCTGTTTGTTGTGTGCCTCAATGAATAAAACAGACCCAACTAGAGGCCTTGTGGAGCTTATCACAGTTAAAAAAGTATTTCCAAATAGTGGATTTTTATCGTTTAGGCTAGGTTAATTCTGAGATGTTTTCTACCCAATAAATGTCTGTAGGACCCATTACTGTCACAATTAAAACCTGCCCCATACATCCAAATATCTCTTGAGGGGAGTGGAAGGACAATATCACTCTTACTGAAATGGGCAGTGCAATTTTTAAAGTTCACAAATTCTGCCCCTTAAATGCAATTTTTTTTATAGATTTGTTTATGCATACAAGAGCTGGGGTAGAGGCCAGAGGTGTGGGGCATGAGAGGATTCACCAGAGACAGTGGGGAACAGAACAGGCAGATCTACTGAACTATATTTCTGAGGGGAGCAGTTGGCAAGACAGGAAAGGTCTGCTGTGCCATGTGGTTTGCTCCCTGGCCAGCCGGGGATCGAACCTGTGTGGCAGAGGCTGCGTCTTAACCCCTTGCGCCACCAGGGAGGCCCGCAATTATTTTTTATTCCCTCCCAAGGTCTTTTTATTCATATGTTTTGTTTTGATAGTATACATAAAGTAGCAAGTTTTAAGACCATACTGATCCCTAGCTTCAACGCGGAACTGGGGAACCTTAGCCCAGAAGGCAAGGTACCTGAGCAATGCTCACAGTTAGCCCACAAGTGAACGTGATTTTAAGGCAAAAACAAAACATACATTGAGATCCTAGGGCCATTTTGAAACAGACTATAAAACAGGAAGAAACTTGTAAACTTTAGAGGCTGAGACTTGGAAGAAGTTTGACCTCCCTATCTCCAAATTTTCATTATCCTTTTGCTGGTCACATGATTTGTGTTCTCCATACCCTTTTTTAAGGTGTCCTTCAAATAGAAAATCCAGATAAGACCAGGGGATTTAGGCACTTAACTGCTATCTGGAATGCTTTTGGTTATAATAAAGAACAGTAGCTTAAGTAAGTATGAGATTAATTTTTCTCACATAATAAAAGTCTAGATGAGCAAGGCCTGGTATAGCTAGGGGTTCTGTGGTTTCCTTGGCCTTTTCTCTTAAGGTTGAAACATGCAGCCTTAGTCATCACATCTGTGTTCAGGAAGTCCCCTGCAGACTGGCCCCTACATCTCATTGGCCAGAAGTGGATCACATGGTCACACCTAGTTGTAAGGGAGGCTGGAAAAGCAGATCATCTTGATGGACTTATACCAATAATTTACCTTCTCTGGAGCTGGACACACTATTGGTTCTAAGGGGGTTTGGGGTTCTTTTAGAAAAGGGGAAGTTGGGTTTTGCTTGGATAGACCACTATGATGGGTTACTCAACACTTAACAAGAAGAAACATTGGAAAGTATAGAAGAATTGATTAGGTTAGACATATTTAGCACACTCTACCATTCATGATACTGTT